CAGTGGCAAATTTTCTGTATGTGAAATTAGCTTCTCAACTTTTTTGTACATACGGTACTGGTTCTTTGGCTACCATTGGAATTACCTGGGAAACATAAAACATTGATCAGGTCCCACGCTCCAGGGATTCTGATTAATTAGGCTGGGTATAGTCTAAGCATCCAAATGATTGTGTGCGGCCAAGATTGAAAACTACCAACACTGACACATAGATTTAACATTAACCACCTAGGACAGAATGATACCACCGTTAAAATTGCTGTGGAAGGTTAAATAATGGGTAGCCCTTGCTATTGCAAGGTTTTTTGAGGTTTTTTGGATTTTTGGTTTTTTTGAGACGGAGTTTCGCTGTTGTTACCCAGGCTGGAGTGCAATGGCGGGATCTCGGCTCACTGCAACCTACGCCCCCTGGGTTCAAGCAATTCTCCTGCCTCAGCCTCCCATGTAGTTGGGACTACAGGCTCTCACCACCATGCCCAGCTAATTTTTGTATTTTTAGTAGAGACGGGGTTTCACCATGTTAACCAAGATGGTCTCGATCTCTTGACCTCGTGATCCACCCGCCTCGGCCTCCCAAAGTGCTGGGATTATAGGCGCGAGCCACCGCGCCTGGCCACTATTGCAAGTTTTAAACAAGCTCAGACCAGGGAACTTCCTAACTTGGACATAGACTTCATAGCAATTTCTTCTCTTAAAATAGTGGAAAATGAAGCTCTAAAAGCACAGTGAATGAGAAATACTACCAAGCTACTGCAATTTGAAAAAATGTGATTTTATTTCAAGAGTCAGTCTTGCACTTTTATCATTTAAATTTGGTTATCTCAGCATGAACCTTCTGAGACTGACAGCAAGAATTAAAACACCTTTTCTATATGCAGAAACTATCCCGTAGTCTACCTGTTCTCAAATTTGAGCATGCTTGCTGGGCCCCACCACCAATCTCTGATTCTGTAGGTCTGGGATAGGACCTTAGAATGTGTCTTTCAATTTGCCAGGTGACTTTTGTTCCAGCCCAAGCCAAAAGAAGTGACAGCAAAGACTGACATCCAGAATCCTGTAATTCAGTTCTCTTTCTACTCATCTCACTACCTGTCCTCTGCTTAGGTAAATGTTTTTGACAGAATGGATTCTTTGCTTCTGTCCAAACATAAAGATTGAGGAGAAACTGACAGCAATATTGAGAGAGGCAAGAGAGAAAAGAAACCTAGCTTTGGAGTCACATTTGATTTTCAATGCGCGCTTCTTGCAAGTTGGTCTGAGTTAGGTGTCTTAGGTCTGGAAACCTGTTTCTTCATGTAAATTTGTGGGAATCCCAGGCGCTCCCTCATTAGGTTGTTCTGAGAAATACGGCTGCTTACACAGCAGTAAAGGGCTCAACAGAGACTTGTCAGTGTTAGTAATAATAAAGCTGGGGGGGGGGGGAACCCCAACTGGTGAAGATACTGAATTGTACCTGAAATTTATTTAAAAATAAATCCGATTAGAAGACACTCAACAGATTGTGTAAAAAATAAATACACCAGATTACTCTGAAATACCTCCGCACAATGTTTTCCAGTCACTAATTCAACAGCTGAACGGGGGATAGGACAAACGTCCTTATTCTCGTGGAATTAATTTTAACAACAGTTAGTTTAGCTTCTATTTTAAGTGCTAGAGAGCAGTATCCGTTAAATCTGGTGGCTGCAGCAGAGAGCACACGCCCAATTTCAGAAGGAAGTGCGCACTGATTCCCTGCAGCCAACTCCCGTTCGCGTAGGCACTGCCACCGGCGCTTAACACAATGTGATAGCCAATTTTATAACAATAGCGTCACCTGATGTCTGCAGCCCCTGACGGTTGGCTTCGGCGGGTGCGCAGTCTCCTTAGGGGCTCTTCCGGCCCCGGACCCAAGATGGGACTACTGCCTCGTGCCCACGAGATCTCAGGCAGCGGCGCCGCAGAGCCGGCCATCGGCCCCACGCGTGCGCGGCCCATCCCCGCCGCAGTCTGGCTGTGCCGGCACTGGAGGGGAACTGGGCCGACCCCGCCTACAGTGCTGGAGGGACTGCCGCGTGGGGCTTCAGAAAGGCTAGGCGCCGAGCAGTGTGAGGAACGTGCCCCCATTTAAAGACAGAAACACTGTTTTTCAGGTTTGTACGAAATGAAGTTATAGAAAGATTAACAACCTGGGAAAGGCAGACTTTCAACTTAGTGTTTACATGTTCACCCAGTGCATTATTTAAAAAGACGAAAAATACATACTTAACGGCTCCTAATCCAGCTCTCTTTGCCTGGTCTCCCAAGACACCTATCATTTGCCCAGCACATACCTTGCCGTTATGCCACACTGCAGTCCCCGGGAAGGTTCCCTCTGCTTAGCTTGCCCCCTAGTCCCTCCAGGAAGCCTTTCCTAACCCTTTCTCGGTGCCCCTCCTCCCATCACAGAAAGGTGACTTGGGCAAAGCACGGTGGCTCAGGCCTATAATCCCAGCACTTTGGGAGGGTGGGGTGGGGGGGGTTGATCACTAAGTCAAAAGATCGAGACCATCCTGGTCAACGTGGTGAAACCCCGTCCCTACCAAAAAAACAAAAGTGACTTGAGTTTTCATGAGTTTCAGTTACTCCTTTTAATTTGCTCTTCTTCCCTATGTTAAGGCAGAAAGAAAATAGTCTTTTTTAACCATACTCAGCACTTGATGCCACAACAGAAGTATTCCACAAAAATTCCTAATAAACCAACACATGCTGAGTACATTCTCCATCTTTATAAGCTGTGGTGCAAATTATGCATATTAAAACTACCAGTTTCATAAGGTCAAGGCTAAATCAAAAATTCTTCTTAAAGATTTTTCTAAAAATTTTTCGCAAAAACTGTTTCCTCTTTCTAACAAACTTATCTTACTTAAGTGAAAATGTCTTTCTTTCCACTGGGATGGCTGTCTACATTCTCAGGAATCCTGAACTTAACGACTATGTTCAACTCCCACAACCATTTTAAAATCATCAAAATGGCAGCAAATGACATTACCTGGGCCAAAAAGCTGCAGGTTTTGTGGCAAATGGGAAATATGTTATAGAATATGACTGGGAAAGAGGGATTTCTTAGCGCTGCTCAGAATTAATTCAGCCAACACTGAGCATTACTACGTCCCAGGCACAGGCTCATACTGTACTTCAGGTCACAATCAAAGGTAAATTACAAGGCTGGGCACGGTGGCTCACACCTGTAATCCCAGTACTTTGGGAGGCCGAGGCAGGCAGATCACCTGAGGTCAGGAGCTCAAGACCAGCCTGGCCAACATGGCAAAACCCCATCTCTACTAAAAATACAAAATTTAGCCAGCCGTGGTAGCATGTGCCTGTACTCCCAGCTACTCGGGAGGCTTGAGGCAGGAGAATCACTTGAACCAAGGAGGTGAAGGTTTCAGTGAGCTGAGATGGCACCACTGCACTCCAGCCTGGGCAACAGAGCAAGACTCCGTCTCAGTAAAATAAAATAAATTTTTAAAAAAGGTGAATTACAAGACTGCTAAAACTTCTTTAAAAAACCTTCCCCACTGGCCGGGCGCGGTGGCTCAAGCCTGTAATCCCAGCACTTTGGGAGGCCGAGGTGGGTGGATCACGAGGTCAAGAGATCGAGACCATCCCGGTCAACATAGTGAAACCCCGTCTCTACTAAAAATAAAGAACATTAGCTGGACATGGTGGCACGTGCCTGTAATCCCAGCTACTCGGGAGGCTGAGGCAGGAGAATTGCCTGAACCCAGGAGGCGGAGGTTGCGGTGAGCCGAGATCACGCCATTGCACTCCAGCCTGGGTAACAAGAGCGAAACTCTGTCTCAAAAAAAAAAAAAAAAAAAAAACCTTCCCCACTAATTTGTATCTAATAAATGCTAACATTTAAAAGGGAGCACAAAAGGCCTGTAGAAACAAGAACTCACATTCTTGAAAGTAGTGCTTAGCACAGTACCTCCCTCATCATCAGAGGTGTGCTATACATCTTCAGCTGAAACATGAAACAGACATCCATGAGGAAAATATTTCCAAGGGTTTTGTTGGCTTTGACATGTTTTTCTTTAAATAACTGGTAATGATGCACATTACAAAGGAGAGTTTTTAAAATCTCAAGTCCTTTGCTAATTTTTCTTTGGAACAACAGCACATTTTCAATGTCAAACTGTACCCTACAACATACAAAGCAGGAGATGCCAAAACTCTGAATTCTTGTAACAGATCCTGCAACTAGATCTGTCCAGAAGATGGAGACATATTCCTTGGAGTTGACTGAACATGTGAGAAGGCACAGCTCAGAAGGAGAGGAAGGGTTCAGGGTAGTGAAATGAGAGCCTAATCATCACCTGGCCTTTTTACATGTTAGTCTATCCTACTATCCCAGGAATTCACTTCTGCTGTACTTGAGATTCAGGGATAATAATGTTACTCCTCCTCCCCCCACCCCACCCCCACATTCTAAGTAAATATGTTAACTAGATGAGCACTGATTTACATTTTAGAACAAAGTCTCCAGAAAGGTATAAAGTTTATTAACATCTTAAAAAGAAAAAAAAATAATAAGATGGGCCGGGCACAGTGGCTCCTGCCTATAAACCCAGCACTTTAGGAGGCCAAGGCGGGCAAATCACTTGAGGTCAGGAGTTCAAGACCAGCCTGGTCAACATGGTGAAACCCCATCTCTACTAAAAACACAAAAATATAAGCCAGGCGATGAGCAAAACTCCAACCAAAAAAAAAAAAAAAAAAAAAAAGATGGAACAGAACACAACTACTGAATACGGTTTAGTTCCTTATTTACAAGTTTTACTATGATAGGCACATTTTAATCAGCATTTCAAATAATCAAAGGAGTAGAATTTTTTTCCAGAAATATCAGTATTTCACTCTTCAGGTAGAAGATTAATGAAAACATTAAGTGACTGCACCAATTCTAATACCTTAAAAATATATAAAAAAGGGAACGGTACCTGCTAGTTAAACATGAAGTTTCACAAAATTACTCTTGTGACTAATTCAGACAATCTATTTGCTTAGAAAAGCTGGCCTTTAAAAACAAAACAAAACAAAAAAAGAGCACATTTAAGTACGTGCTTTCAAGCTGATTTAAAAAGAAAAGCTGAATTATGGTTTCCAGAGCTTTAGGAGTCCATCTTCACTGTAGGTAGCAATCAGGTTCTGATGAGGGTGATGTGCAATACCAATCACATCCTTCTCATGCACCTGGAACACGTAAAGCACAGGGTTAGGCTATACAGATCTGCAACAAATCACTCTGACGAGGCTTCTAGAGCTGGGTGGGAGGGAAGAAGAGATCATGGAAGGCCACATACTCCAAATGACATAGAAGAAAGATGGAAGAGGGTTTTCCAACTCACATCACACTGTGACACAGTAAGAAATAAACTTTTAGACTGGGCAGTGGCTCATGTCTATACTTTGGGAGGCCGAAGTGGGTGGATCACTTGAGGTCAAGGGTTCAAGACCAGCCTGGCCAACATGGTGAAACCCCATCTCCACTAAAGATACAAAAAATTAGCCAGGAGTGGTGGCACATGCCTGTAATCCCAGTTACTTGGAAGGCTGAGGCAGGAGAATCACTTGAACCCAGGAGGCGGAGGTTGTAGTGAGCCAAGATCACACCACTGCACTCCAGCCTGGGTGACAGTAAGAATCCATCTCAAAAAAATAAATAAATAAAAACTTGTATAGTGTTAAGCCACTGAAATTTGGGGATCATCACAGCAGCTGGCATTAATTTTATTTCTTGAATTTAACATGGAACTAAATGTTTTAAAAGATAACATTTTTTTTATGCGGAGGGTCACAATGATAGCAGTCTGGAAAAGGTACATACTTTAGAGTTCAGAAAGACAGAAGTCTTACCATATTTCTTTTTTTTTTTTTTTGAGACGGAGTTTCACTCTAGTTACCCAGGCTGGAGTGCAATGGCGCGATCTCGGCTCACCGCAACCTCCGCCTCCTGGGTTCAGGCAATTCTCCTGTCTCAGCCTCCTGAGTAGCTGGGATTACAGGCATGCACCACCATGCCCAGCTAATTTTTTGTATTTTTAGTAGAGACGGGGTTTCACCATGTTGACCAGGATGGTCTCGATCTCTCGACCTCGTGATCCACCCGCCTCAGCCTCCCAAAGTGCTGGGATTACAGGCTTGAGCCACTGTGCCCAGCCGTCTTACCATATTTCTTTAGATGAACTTAGTAAGTAATACTCACTGTCAAAGTTCTCTCCAGTTTGCCAGTGACTGTACTGAAACAGTAGAGCACAAAGTCCTCCCCTACACAGTAGATCCATTCGCCACGGGGAGAGAGGGCACAGCAAACAAAGTCCCCACCTTCTCTTTTACCAGAACTGAAGCTTCTGACAATCTAGATCACACCACACCCCAAGACAAAAACATCAGGATTAGTAGCAGCTCAACCATGTGAAGCATTTTCAACTGACATTTTTACACTGTTATTTTGCACTTTGGTTTACTATCATTTGTAATTAAATCTCCAATCCTGTTCATCACGTACTAACTCCCTCGCCTGGAAAATATTCAATAGATAAGCAATCTAAACTAAGTGGCAGACAAAAACCTATAATTCATACATCCCAAGTCACCAATCATGCCCTAAAGAGATATAATACCCGTAAGCAAATTTTATTGCCATATATACAACAATTTCTTTTCTTTTTTTTTTTTTTTGAGATGGAGTCTCGCTCTGTCGCCCAGGCTAGAGTGCAATGGCATGGTCTCGCCTCACTGCAACCTCCACCTCCCGGGTTCACGCAGTTCTCCTACCTCGGCCTCCCAAGTAGCTGGGATCACAGGCGCCTGCTACCATGCGTGGCTAATTTTTCTATTTTTAGTAGAGACAGGGTTTCACCATGTTGGTCAGGCTAGTCTCAAACTCCTGACTTCATGATCCACCCATCTGAATATCCCAAAGTGCTGGGATTACAGGCTTGAAGCCACCGCTCCCAGCCCATACAACAATTTCTAAATCAATACACCAGTAGCTCTCAAAGCTTTCTGGAAGTCTGCTCCCCAGCTTCCTCTAACAGAATGAGCAGCTTTCCCCACGCAAGATGACACTGTCTCTAAGACTTTTCTTGCTCTATTGACACAACATTAAAATCATCATAAATCAAGCTGGCGAGAAACCAATCTGAAAAGGTTAGAAGTTTACATACCATATGCTTCCATTTCTATACCATTTTCAAAATGACAAAATTATAATACTGGAAAACAGATCAGTGGTTGCCAAGGGTTAAGTCTTGGAATTAATTAACTTGAAATTTAAAACATATCATTTACACTAGCATACCCCCAAATGAAAATACTTAGGTATAAATCTAACAAACTACATACAAGATTTAAATGAGAAAAACTACAAAACTCTGATGAAGGATATCAAAGAACTAAACAGAGATAGTCTATGTTCATGAACAGGAAGACTCAATATGGTAAAGATGTCAGTTCTTCCCAACTTACTCTATGGATTTCATACAATCCCAATCAAAATCCCAACAAATTATTTTGTGGATATTGACAACCCAATTCTAAAGCTTACACAAAAAGGCAAAAGACCCAGAATAGCAAACTCAATATTGAAAGAGAAGGGCAAAGTTGGAGGGCTCACAATACCCACCTTCAAAATTTACTATAAAGCTACAGTGATCAAGACAGTGTGGTACTGGCAAAAGAACAAAGAAATAGATCCATGGAACAGAATAGAAAGCCCAGAAATACACTCAACTGATTTTTGACAAAGAAGTAAAAGCAATATAATGAAGATAGTCTTTTCAACAAGGGATGCCATAACTGGACACTTATATGCAAGATAATGAATCTAGACACAATAAAGACCTTATATTCTTCATAAAAATTAACTCGAAATGGATCACAGACCTAAATGTAAAACTCAAAACTATATATAAAACTCTTAGAGGGTAACAAAAAAGAAAATCTAGATGAACTTGAGTTTGATGATGACTTTTTAGATACAACTCCAAAGACATGATCCATGAAAGAACTGATAAGCTAGATTTCATTAAAATCAAAATTTTCTGCTCTGTAAAAGCCACTGTCAAGAAACTGAGGCTGGGCCAGGCATGGTGGCTCCCACCTATAATCCCAGCACTTTGGGAGGCCGAGGCAGGTAGATCACGAGGTCAGGAGTTCAAGACCAGTCTGACTAACCTGGTGAAACCCCGTCTCTAATAAAAATACAAAAATTAGCCAGGCATGGTGGCGCGTACCTGTAATCCCAGCTACTCAGGAGGCTGAGGCAGGAGAATCACTTGAACTTGGGAGGCAGAGGTTGCAGTGAGCCAAGATCTCACCATTGCACTCTAGCCTGGACAACAGAATGGACTCCGTTTCCAAAAAAAGAAAAAGAAAAAAGAAAATGAGGCCAGATGCAGTGGCTCATGCCTATAATCCCAGCACTTTGGGAGGCTAAAGCAAGAGGATCCCCTGAGGCCAGGAGTTTGAGACCAGCCTCAGCAATACAGCAAGACCCCATTTCTACAAAAAATTTAAAAAATTAAAAAATAGAAAAAAATAGTCGGGCATGGTGGCACATGCCTGTAATCCCAGCCACTTAGAAGGCTGAGGCAGGAAGATTTCTTGATCCCAGGAGCTCAAAGATACAGTGAGCTATGATCATGCCACTCCAGCCTAGGCAATGAAGCAAGACCCTGCCTCAAAAAAAAAAAAAAAAAAAAAAAGAGAGAGAGAGAGAGAGAGAGGACAAGCCATAGACTGGGAGAAAATAAAGAACTATTATCCAAAATGTACAAAGAACTCTTAAAACTCAACAGTAAGAAAACAACCCAATTGAAAAATGGGTCAAATATCATAAACAGACACCTCACCAGAAGTACAGAGATGACAAATGAGCGTATGAAAAGATGTTCCACATTTCATTAGGGAAATGCAAATTAAATGAGATACCACTATACCTATTAGAATGGCTGAAATCCACAACACTGACCACACCCAATGCTAGTGAGGATGTGGAGTAACTGGAACTCTCATTCACGAAGGGTGGGAATCCAAAATGATACAGCCACTTCGCAACAGTTTGATAGTTTCTTACAACTAAACATACTTTACCATACAATCCAACAATCACACTACCCAGCATTTATTGAAAGGAATAGAAAACATCTTCACACAAAAATCTGCACATGGATGTTTATAGCAGCTTTACTCATAATTGCCAAAACTTGGAAGCAACCAAGATGTCCTTCAGTAGATGAGTGGATAAATAAATGTTATTTAGCACTTTAAAAAAAAAAGCTATCAAACCATGAAAAAACAAGGAGAAAAATGCATATTATTAAGAAGCCAAAATGAAAAAGTTATATACTTTATGTTTCCAACTACATAACTTCCTAGAAAAGGCAAAACTATGGAGACAGTAAAAAGATTAGTGGTTGCCAGAGTTAGTAGGGAGGGAGGGAAGAATAGCAAGGGCTATTTCTGGAAGAATAGCAAGGGAATTTCCGGGAAGTGAAACTACTCTGTACAATTCTCTAATGGTAGGCACCTGCCATTATACATTTGTCCAAACCTACAGAACATACAACACCAAGAGTGAACCCTAATGTAAACTATGGCCTTTGTGTGTTAATGATGTAGCAAATGCAGGTTCATCAGTTGTAACAAACATACCACTCTGGTACAAGATACTAATAGTGGGGAGGGCTGTGCCGGTGGAAGGGACAAAGGAAATATGAGAACCCTTCATATTTTCTGTTCAATTTTGCTGTGAACCTAAAAGCACTCTAGTCTATTTTTTTAAAAAACAACAAATTATAACAATTGAAACTGATCAGTAGTTGCCAGGGGCTAAGGGTATGGAGAGGATGTGACTATAAAGATGTAGCATGAGAGTTTCTTTGGGAATGATAAAACAGTTCTGTATCTTGACTGTAATGATGGTTATATGACTCTATACATGTAATGAAACTTTACAGAACGATTATACCCCTGCCTTAAAATTTTTAAAAAATGCATATAAGAACTGATAGAAGAACCATGTAAAAGCTGGTGAAATCTAAATAAGATCTGTAATAGAGTTAATAACTGTACCAATGTCAATTTCCTAGTTCTGATCATTGTACTATGGCTATATAAGATGTTGTCACTAGAAGAATTTGGAACTCTTCCATGCTATTTTTGCAATTTCTATGTGAATCTAAAATTATTTTTTCAAAATAAAGTCTTTTAAAAAGTCAAGCACAGCCAGGCGCGGTGGCTCAAGCCTGTAATCCCAGCACTTTGGGAGGCCGAGGCGGGTGGATCACGAGGTCGAGAGATCGAGACCATCCTGGTCAACGTGGTGAAACCCCGTCTCTACTAAAAGTGCAAAAAATTAGCTGGGCATGGTGGCACGTGCCTGTAATCCCAGCTACTCAGGAGGCTGAGGCAGGAGAATTGCCTGAACCCAGGAGGCGGAGGTTGCGGTGAGCCGAGATCGTGCCATTGCACTCCAGCCTGGGTAACAGGAGCGAAACTCTGTCTCAAAAAAAAAAAAAGTCAAGCACAGAACTATGAAGTAGTGTGCTTAGCAGATGTACTGGGCAGCTGTAGCTATTATGCAGTGGCCATATGCAGTGGCCCAAAAGATACTGCAGATGAGCCATCTCAGCTATGGGTTCTGAACTACTACTCCATCAGTTATAGAACACAAAGAATGGAAAGAGAGTACTACACACCAGCCCCTGGTTCTTCACTATGCTCAGCAAGATCCCCAAGTGTCCAGGCCAATAATCCAGTAGCACTAGCATACATATCCAGGGTTTCAGTCCTCAAACTTGAGGCTTCGGACACCCCCAGTGCTACCTCACAGTCCACAAAAGTGAGATTCCTTGGGAACCCTGCAGGTGTTCTGATTAAAAATACAATGAGGACACTGCTTCCTTTCTCCTATTAGTGTTCCACTTTAGACCGTGGTAGCTAGATGTCCTGAGTTTTTTGGTAATCCATACTACACTACATCTCCCTAAGTCAGACTAAGGTTTTTAATCTTAAAATCTTCAGTGAGCTTCTGAAGGAGGCTTAAAGATGGACAGGAGCTTCATTAATCCAAAGGATGAAAAAGCATAATATATACCAGGGGAAAGGATATCACTTTTGAAACAGCAAAGAGATGTTTTACAGAGCTATAAATGAATCTGAAAAACAAATATGGTTTATAGGTTTACAGAGAAGTGAACCCAAATTTGGTTATTGGGAGGGCGGACCTGGACCAGGATGTCCTGATTTGGGAATGTCCCACAGGTCCTGTGCAAATGTACTTTCTGAGCACTCACCTGCCCCTGCATGTTCATGATGACCACCGTGTTTGATCTGTTGCACACCACAAAGTGCTCAGGGTTTTTAGGAAGTAGGATCACACTGTTGACGGTAATGTCTGTCCCTGCAGTGCTGCCCAGGGATTTAAAGGTATTTGAACATTCTGTGGTCTTCATATTCCAGATCTACCACAAAAAAAATTTTAAGTTATAAACCTTTTTAAGGTATTAAAATTTCTAAAGTTTTCAGTCCAATCACCTGCAAGAAATTTTTTTTTAAATATTTCTAAAGTTTTAGGGTTTAAAACATTAATAGGTTACTAAAAAAGAATAGAAATGACTCAGGGGAAAACAGTTTCTTACTTGATTTTAGGTCCAATCAAATATCCAGCACTGTCATATACAGTGGTCCCTCGGTATCTGTGGGAATTGGCTCTAGGATCCCCTTTAGATACCAAAATCCAAGGATACTCAAGTCCCATATATAAAATGATGTAGTATTTGCATATAACCTATGGACATCCTCCTGTATGCTTTAAATCATCTCTAGATTACTTATAATACCAATACTATCCCTACACACCACTTCCTTTGCATGGATTTAATGTAGTACTTGGCATGGGGCAGATTCAAGTTTTGCTTTTTGGAACTTTGCGGAATTTTCTTTTCCCCAAATATTTTCAATTTGTGGTTGGTTGAATACATGTTCCAGATACAGAGGACCAACTGTATAGAGTAAGCATTCATCATATATTTGTTGATTAACTGGGAAAAACAAGTCACAAACTAAATTTTAAAAACTTTAAAAAATCTATGACGTGGCCGGGCGCAGTGGCTCAAGCCTGTAATCCCAGCACTTTGGGAGGCCGAGGCGGGTGGATCACGAGGTCAAGAGATCGAGACCATCCTGGTCAACATGGTGAAACCCAGTCTCTATTAAAAATACAAAAAATTAGCTGGGCATGGTGGCGCGTGCCTGTAATCCCAGCTACTCAGGAGGCTGAGGCAGGAGAATTGCCTAAACCCGGGAGGCAGAGGTTGCGGTGAGCCGAGATCACGCCATTGCACTCCAGCCTGGGTAACAAGAGCGAAACTCCGTCTCAAAAAAAAAAAAAAAAAATCTATGATCTTTGCTCATATATATTCCCTTAGCCAATAGAGCTCTCTCTTTAAACTTAGTTGCGTGCCAACACTGCTACTGTCAGAAACAACCAGAAAGCTACCCTTGTCTGGACATCAAAACCAAACAGGGGGTCAGGCACAGTGGCTCACACTTGTAATTTCAGCACTTTGGGAAGCCAAGGCAGGTGGATCACTTGAGGTCAGGAGTTCAAGACCAGCCTGCGCAATATAGTGAGACCTTGTTGCTATTTACAATACTTAAAATACAAATAGAACAAAACAAAAACAGGGCTTTTTTTCTTTTTAAGAGATGGGGGGCCGGGCACGGTGGCTCAAGCCTGTAATCCCAGCACTTTGGGAGGCCGAGGTGGGTGGATCACAAGGTCAAGAGATCGAGACCATCCTGGTCAACATGGTGAAACCCCGTCTCTACTAAAAATACAAAAAAATCAGCTGGGCATGGTGGTGCGTGCCTGTAATCCCAGCTACTCAGGAGGCTGAGGCAGGAGAATTGCCTGAACCCAGGAGGCGGAGGTTGCGGTGAGCCGAGATCGCGCCATTGCACTCCAGCCTGGGTAACAAGAGCGAAACTCCGTCTCAAAAAAAAAAAAAAAAAAAGAGATGGGGGTCTCACTATATTACCCTATTGCCCCCACTGGCATTAAATTCCTGGATTCAAATGATCCTCTCACTTCAGCCTCCTGAGTAGCTGGGACTACAGGCAGGTGCCACTGAGCCTGGTTCAAATAGAGGCTTTTTAGCTTGAGACTCTATCCTGAGATTTTGATTTCGTAGGTCTAGGGTGAGGCACAGGCATTTTTTAAAAAGCTACAAATGATTCCAATGCACCATTTATACTGACAATAACTGAATGGAAGTCACAATGTTAGCACATACACACATAAGGATCTATGAAGTGGAAGCTACTCTTGGCCACTTGTATTACTTTCCCAGTCTATCTTTTCACCTTGCCCTTCTGAGCTCTTATGAACTGAAGGGGTTAAATCAGGTAGCACAGAAATATTGAGATGTGCTTAGAGAAGGGATGAACCAAACATGAAATAGCATTGTCCAGATACCACTCAATTCATCAGGTACAAAGTCTCTAAGGCATGGACTCTGCTGTGTTTCCTCTGTGCCTTCCACAGAGCTTGGCACAAAGCAGATGTTTTTTTTTTTTTTTTTTTTTTTTTTTTGAGACGGAGTTTCGCTCTTGTTACCCAGGCTGGAGTGCAATGGCGCGATCTTGGCTCACCGCAACCTCCGCCTCCTGGGTTCAGGCAATTCTCCTGCCTCAGCCTCCTGAGTAGCTGGGATTACAGGCACGTGCCACCATGCCCAGCTAATTTTTTGTATTTTTAGTAGAGACGGGTTTTCACCAGGTTGACCAGGATGGTCTCGATCTCTCGACCTCGTGATCCACCCGCCTCGGCCTCCCAAAGTGCTGGGATTACAGGCTTGAGCCACCGTGCCCGGCCTCAAAGCAGATGTTTAATAAAGACCCATAAATAGAAGAAAACAGTTGCCGTAGAGTCAACACTGTTATTGCCTACCTAATCTCCTCTGAAGCCCCGTTAATTAGAAGAAAAAAATGAACATTTCAGGAATTAAGAATGCTAAGGCTTCCAGTGTTTTCCATTCAAAAGGTCTGTGACATCTTTTGCCCCACTCACTGCAGAACTAAGGGGGAAAGACCACAAATAAAGAAGCCTCAACAAGCCATCTCCAAATGGCATTTACAAGTTGTGAGGCCTATAGACATAGCATGAGAGCAAAACCCACGACTAAAGTACTAAGAGCTCTATGTGGTTCCCTATCCATCCCAAGGGAGCATTACAGCTCCTGCCTTCAGGTTTCCACTTCAATTTCCAATTATGAACAAGCAATGTCAGAGATTGGTCTGACATGCATATATGCATACATACATATATACATACATTTATTGACTGACTGAGACAGGTTCTTGCTCTGTTGCCCAGGCTGACATATAGTAGTGCGATAATTACTCAATGCAGCCTCGAACTCCTGGGTTCAAGTGATCCTTTCACTTCAGCCTCCCAAGTAGCTAGGACTACACCTGTACGCCACCACACCTGGCTGTCTGAATTTTAGATACTTAAGTATGTATCTAAAATGTCTAAGTATTTGTGTTAAAATGTTTTGTTAAAATGTCTAGATCCTCTGCCACAAAGTACTCACTCATATAAGGCAACTTAAAAAGATTAGGTCCAGAACATAAGTTAGAGTGTCTCAAAGATCTCTAATAATTTTCTATTTGGGTGTCTCCTATCTTTTCTAGGAAATGAGACCCTCTCTTCAAATAACTAAATCTTTAAAGGTAATAAAGATCCATTACTTTCAGCAAATAACTTATTAAATAAGTATCCAGGAGGCGGCTTAGTTTTACTCACCTCTCCTATTCCTCTATAAATGCTACTATAAAGGCCCTAAATTTGGGGGCCAGGAGTGCAGTGAGACTGTGCAACAAAAAAGAGATCTGTTTATAGGCCACTGAGCCTTTCATGAATTTGACTGTTAGCAGGTGGACCATACCTATGAAAAACAGATTTAACCACCATGTGTATCTGTGAATGGGGGATGGCTTAAGTTTAGAACTCCTAACCCTTCCTCTTTTTCTACACATGATAAAGTTTGTTTGAATTGAAAAGTTTTGAGATTGGGGTCCCAAAGCCAATGGGAATTACCCACAGAACACTGTTACTGTTGTCCACAGAACACTGTCACCTCAGTTATTGCTAAAATAGTCATTAAAGAGGTTTATTCCACCACAATCATCCCCATTATCACCACTGAAAACTCCTCAAAGGAAAAGGATGAAGTAGACATCCCAAAATAAACCAGTAGCAAATACTTAACCTTAACAGTGCCATCAGAGGATGCACTAATAATATAATGTCCATCTTGTGTAAATGTTGCTTCATTAACAAAGGAGGAATGGCCACGAAATTCCTTCAGGGTTTTCCCAGATTTCAAACCATGAATTCTACCACAAATGAAAGCAAATGAAAAGAACAATAAATATTTAATATCTTATGGTTGTGACCAATGATTGAATGCATTTTAGATAAATTACAGAAGTTCATGTTATAATATTAAGTGAAGAGGGCTATGTGATTGTGTATACGTATAATTTCCATTATATCAAACAATGAAAAAAAAAAGCTTTGCAAAGAAAGAGACTGGAAGAAAATATGCCATTAATACCACAAGCTTCTGTTCAGGATGGACCTCTAAAAAACAGATTAACAAGAGGTTGAGATCAATGGCTCTCAGCTGGGTCCCAGGATAACAGACTCTCTAAGGTGATTATGATGCAGATGGGTCCATAAGATGATGCTCTGAGAACCATGAATCACTGCTATCCCCTCTAAAATCTCTCTTCTGGATAAATGTACAAAACAACAGCATTGTGTCAATTGTACTCTGGGGACATACGGTCTCACATACCTTCACTCTATATCATACCATCATGGTAAAAGCATAAGGAATCACTAGTACCTCCCTCCATGCCCTCATTATATCAAACAAGTGAGGGCAGTTGTGGGATTTTTACTTACCTAATTGTCTGGTCAAAAGAAGCACTAAGGATCTGACTGCTATCCTTAGAAAAGCTTAGACAGGTGACACCCTTACTGTGTGCCCTCTCAAATCTCCTTAAACATTGTCCACTCTGAATCTTCCATACCTTTTGGGAAAAAAAAAAAGAATTAAAAAAAAACTCATAAAGTGTCCTACTACAGCCCACAGAGCCAAGCAAGATGAAATGCTCACTAATGTACTGAAACAGCATTAAAAATGCATGCTTGGGCCGGGCACGGTGGCTCAAGCCTGTAATCCCAGCATTTTGGGAGGCCGAGGTGGGTGGATCACGAGGTAGAGAGATCGAGACCATCCTGGTCAACATGGTGAAACCCCGTCTCTACTAAAAACACACAAAAAAGTAGCTGGGCATGGTGGCGCTTGCCTGTAATCCCAGCTACTCAGGAGGCTGAGGCAGGAGAATTGCTTGAACCCAGGAGGCGGAGGTTGCGGTTAGCCAAGATCGCGCCATTGCACTCCAGCCTGGGTAACAAGAGCGAAACTCCGTCTCAAAAAAAAAAAAAAAAAAAAAAAAATGCATGCTAACAGCTGAATATGATGTGTCTGGTTCATGTAGTACAATGGTAACTAAATCCTTTGAAACTTAAAACTGTTTCCTTGTAAATTATTAAAACAAAAATAGAGATTTTAAGTTCACTCAGCAGAAACCATTTCCATATTTTCTGTAGGCCAGGATGTACTTCTAGCATTAAATATGAACCACAGCAAACTGGCTATTAGACCATCTTCCAAAAAAAAAAAAAAGTCAAAGTGATTCTAATTTTTTATACAGCCAGCCAGGGTGGTACAATAGAAAGGGAATAAACACATGTGAACTAAAGTCCCAGATCCATCACTTACCAAGTATGTGACCATAAACATGTTACTGGACCACCCAGGCAGAGTTATTATTAGAATTACACAAGAAAAAGTAAAGTGATTACAATAAAGCTAATGCTCAATAAACAGTAGCCATTATTATGCTGAATATTATATGTAGGACACTACCCCATAGCAGAACATTCAAAGTGTCTACATATGAGAGGTTGTGGCACTAATCCATACCTTGATTTTTCCATCTTGAGCCCCAGTTGCTAACATTTCTGTATCTCTGCTGAAACACATGCAGAGGACAGCATCATCCATCATCATAAAGTTATCCTGGGCCTGGTACTTAAGATCCTAAAGAAACAATGGTTAGCAGTTTATCAAAATAATGCAAAAGCCAAGGCCCCAGGTCTCTAGAAACTCAAAAAAAGCAGGGCAATAGATCATACCTACTCTAAACCCACAAAGTAAACAGAAGTGCCATGCATACATGTTCCTAGTAAATAACTAGTTCCTAGTGATATTGCTGGAGATAAATAATTTTATACAATTCAAATTAGTATTATAAAAAATACCAACATACTATTCTAGATCTTTTTCTTACTGATTTTTTCTAGGCAAAATTTCTCTAGTGTCATATTTTACATCTTTAATAACTCTGAATTTACCTATTTTTGTATGATGTGAGAAACTAATAATTTTTTCCAAATCATCAGCTACCTTTCCTGAAACAGTTTACTATTTATTTGTGATGCTTCTTTTATCATCCATTATTGTTCAAATAGAGTGTCTTTCTTATTTTTTTCTAATTACAAAGTAAGACTACTTCCTGGTCTAAAAAATAAAAGCAAACTATACTGAAATATATACAGTAGGAAATGAAAATCACTCATAAATCCACTACCCACAGAGCGGAATTTGATAATCTACAATAAAAATTACATTTTATTTATTTTATTTACTTATTTGTTTTAAGACACAGTATTGCTCTGTTGCCCAGGCTGCAGTGCAATAACATGATCTTGGCTTACTGCAACCTCTGCCTCCCAGGTTCAAGAAATTCTCCTGCATCATTTTCCCAAGTAGCTGGGATTACAGGTGCACACCACCACACCCAGCTAATTTTTTTTATTTTTAGTAAAGACAGGGTTTCACCACATCTGGCTTTGAACTCCTGACCTCAAGTGATCTACCCACTTCAGCCTCTCAAAGTGCTGGGATTACAGGCATGAGCCATGCGCCCACCCAAAAATAACATTTTAAATCAGTGGATACAAGTTAGTAAATAGCCATTTGGGGAAAAAACTAAGTTGGATCTATACCAACTTTATTCTCCTAAACAAATTCTAAAAGGGTCAAAAATTAAACATAAGCCGGGCGCGGTGGCTCAAGCCTGTAATCCCAGCACTTGGGAGGCCGAGGCGGGCAGATCACAAGGTCAAGAGATCGAGACCATCCTGGTCAATATGGTGAAACCCCATCTCTACTAAAAAATACAAAAAAATTAGCTGGGCACGGTGGTGCATGCCTGTAATCCCAGCTACTCAGGAGGCTGAGGCAGGAGAATTGCTTGAAACCAGGAGGAGGAGGTTGCGGTGAGCTGAGATCGCGCCATTGCACTCCAGCCTGGGTAACAAGAGCAAAACTCCGTCTCAAAAAAAAAAAAAAAAAATTAAACATAAAAGATTAAAATACTAAAAGAAATTGTAGAATAAAAGATGAATAAATTTGATGATATAGAAAAATTTAAGTCTGTAAAACAAAACAAGCAAAATCGAAAGTTAAAAGTCAAACTTTAAAAATATTTGTAATGTATATTATAAAACTTCATTTCCTTAAAATATAAAGAGCTCCTACAAATCAATAAAGAACAATTGAACAGAAAAATGGGCAAACGATATTAACAGACCTCATAATAAGAAATATTAGTGGCTTCATTAAAATAAAAAAAATATTGGTGGCTTTTCACATATAAAAAGATGTTTTAACTTCATTCATAAGAAAAATGTAACTAGTACTACAATTAGGTTAGACTGGAAATGATCTTAAATAAAATGGCTGGTTAAATACATCATGGTTCAATCCATCCAATGTAATATAATACAGCAATAATCCCCAAAATATGCTATAAAGAGAAAAGCAAGAATGTAACAGGGTATACAGTATGCTATCATCTGTATTAAAATTTTTTGAATAAGATATATAAGTAACACACACAGGATATTCCAGGAAAGTTCCATAAGAAACTAGTAATCTTGGCTGGCCCAAGGAAGGCAACTGACTAGCTGAGGTACAAGTGTAGGAGCAAAATGCTACTTGAGTAACTTTTTGTTTTTTGAATGTTGTATCAGTTGTACATATAACCCACTCAAAGAAAAAAAAATTTTTTGCATGCCTGTAATCCCAGCTACTCCAAAGGCTGAGGCAGGAGAGTTGTTTGAACCCAGGAGGCAGAGGTTGCAGTGAGCTGAGATCCTGCTACTGCACTCCAACCTGGGCAACAAGAGTGAAACTGCCTAAAAAAAATTTTTTTGCTTTCTCTGAGGAGTTGTCTTGCTCTGTAGCCCAGGCTGGACTGCAGTGGCAGGATCTCCGCTCACTGCAACCTCCGCCTCCCAGGTTCAAACAATTCTCCTGCCTCAGCCTCCTGAGTAGCTGGGATTACAGATGCCTACCACCAACACCTAGCTACATTTTTTTTGGGGGGGGTATTTTTAGTAGAGACGGGGTTTCACCATGTTGGCCAGGCTGGTCTTGAACTCCTGACCTCAGGTGATCTACCTGCCTCAGTCTCGTAAAGTACTGGGATTATAGGTGTGAGCCACCACGCCTGGGCTGAAAAAATTTTTTTTACTTGTAAAAACAATAGATAATAAAACAATTATAGATGATAAAGGTCCTCCCTTGATTAATAATAAAATTAGAATTTAATTAAAAAGAATTTTAAATTAGCTTTTTTTTTTTTTTTTTTGGAGACAGCGTCATTGCCCAGGTTGGAGTGCAGTAGCACAATCATGGCTGACTGCAACCTCAAACTCCTGGGCTTCAGGGATCCTCCCACTTCAGCCTCCCAGGCAGCTAAAACTATAGGTGCACACAAGCATGCATGGTTAATTTAAAAAAAAATTTTTTTTGTAGAGACATGGTCTCACTATGCTGTCCAGGCTAGGTTGAACTACTGGGTTTTCAACTAAGTGATCCTCCTGCCTCAGCCTCCTGAGTAGTTAGGACTATGGGTGTGCACCACTGTGCCTGCCCTTAAATGAGTTTTTTAAAAGTAATATATGTTCATTACATATAGATCCTTTTTCAACTAATCTGACTTAGAGTGAGGGCACAGATAAGTAATTCAAAGTCAGTAATTTTCACACTAGGAAGGTTAATATATTTAAAATACTTTACCTTTCTGATTTTTCCAGTAGTAAAGTTCCATACTTCAATGAATCCATCAACAGACCCCGTGACCAAATACTGACCATCTGGAGAAAATCGAGCACACTCCACATGTGATTTCTGACCAAACTGTTTCAAATGAAATAATGAAACAGATGCATTTTTATCTAGTATATTTAAAACAATTTCTGTTTTAACCTTTTGAGAATCCCTGCCCTAGCTTAAAGTCATAGCTGGCCCATATTATAGAGTATTAGAGGAATATTTCTGTACATAGACACAGGGACCTGGTGGATGTATTTTCTCTGACTAGTTTTACATCTGGGCACTAAGTCGAACCTAGTTTTTTGGATGTGAGATTGATATTTCCAAAGAAAAGCACATGAGACTTAGAATAAATAATCCCGTTAGCTCAGAGTATAATGTTTTGCTAGAAATAGACACTGTTAGCATGACTTTCATACTCAATATGTCCTAATATGTTCTTGTTGTATATCTCAGGGGGAAAAACTGATTTTTTCAAAGTAAATATATGCTTCCCTATACTATTTTGTAAATAAACTTTCTATCAGTGTTTCACAACCTTCATATAATCAAGTGATAATGTATAATTGACCAAACTTAGAACTAATTAAAGCTAATATACTGTCTGGTATATGCATCCTGAGCATTTGCTAGTGACGGCAATCTCAGTAACAGTTGAAAACTATAGAAAATTAGGTGGAAAAAGAAGAGAGAAAAGTTCAAATGTGGCTTTCACTTTAAATGCCAACAAAGGAAAGTGTTTATAACAGAAAATTTTAGCCCAGCAGCATAATAATGATGGATTTCTATTTGTCTCAAGGTTTCAGGCAGAGTAAATGAAGGTGCTGCTCAAAAATATCTTTATCTGCAAGTTAGAACATATAACCCAGAAAAGGCAAATTCAAAATGTTAAGCCAAAGTCCAAGATTTGAGGAATATGAAATAGTCTAAAATCCAGGAATTTAGAGCACAAATCCAGAGAAACTATAATATAGAGATGCTAAAGTAGCAAATATACTTGTAGTTCTGAGAATTACCTAGAAAACTTTTTCCTAGGAAACTCAGATTTTAAAAAAATATAAGATAATAAAATCATTTTCCTCAAACATCACGTAAGTCTACTTTGTAATCCCTGACTGGCACTCTGCCGGACACATAGCAGGCAAAGCAAAAATGTTGAAGAGGAGAAGTACACAGAAAGTTCATAGTTAGTCCCCGACTTAACCAAAGAACTAACCATTCTTCCAAATGCAGGTTTCTTGGGAGGAAATGCAAGGGCAGATGATGGGCTAGATGTCAAGCTAGATGTTCATCCATTAGATTACAAATCTGAGTTGTACCACTGCCAGGCCACAGCAGTATCCCAGTGGACACCTGAAGCAACCCTGAATACTGTCAGAGCTAGAGAAGGAGTTCTCCCCATCTAGTATCCAATCTCCAGGCATAGGGCCTAGCTGAGCCCATGACAAGTCCTCAACAAATGATTACTGACTGGTTGACTGTCTTAGGTTCCTACCTTAATATGCCTGCTCAGTTGTGTAGGAAACTTTTCTTCTTCCACATCTTTGACAGCTGCTTTGCCTCTAAACAAATCTATGGTCATACCAGGAGGAAGTAATCCCTGATGCTGCTGCCACTTCAGTGCCTATGAGGAAAAAATAAAGGAGAGCAATCTGTTCAGGTGCTTTTAAGATCTGGTTATAAATGCTCAGAAACCAAGCCCGAAAAGATGAGGTTCAGGAAAAGCTGTGAGCCATCAGGACCCCAACAATTTTTGGCCATCCAAACACAACAAACACAACATAATCTGTGCTCCTCTGCGTGTCCAAGAACTCAGGGTGGACGGGGACTCTGAGAGCCAACAAGTCTATCATTCACCTATTTTCTTAGAGGTGTGGCTCTTTTGTTATAAACAAAATTTGGAAAACAGAAATCTCCTATAGTTCTAACACTCAAACACACCCACTGTTAACATTTTATATGCTACCTTCCAATCCTTTCCCCCACTACATATGTTTCATTAACCTAGCTGTAATTATATTATATGTAAAATTTTATTTTCTCCTCTCTTCACTATCAATAGATCATACTAGTCACAGCTATCATTTTTTTTTTTTTTTTTTGAGACGGAGTTTCGCTCTTGTTGCCCAGGCTGGAGTGCAATGGCGCGATCTCGGCTCACCGCAACCTCCGCCTCCTGGGTTCAGGCAATTCTCCTGCCTCAGCCTCCTGAGTAGCTGGGATTACAGGCACACGCCACCATGCCCAGCTAATTTTTAGTATTTTTAGTAGAGACGGGGTTTCACCATGTTGACCAGGATGGTCTCGATCTCTTGACCTCGTGATCCACCCGCCTCGGCCTCCCAAAGTGCTGGGATTACAGGCTTGAGCCACCGCGCCCGGCCACAGCTATCATTTTAATGGCTGTAAAATATATCCCATTGATTAGATGTCTCACAGTTAACTTAATCAATATATTAGTGGACATTTACACTGCTTCCAATTTTTCAATCACCTAAATAATGCTTCAATAAACATCTCTGGATATAAGGCTTTTTCTATTTTGGGGATATTCCCCTGTTAGGGTATATTCCTGGAAGAGAAATTACTAAATCCAAAAAAGAACATGAATGGTTAAGGTTCTTGATATATTTGATATATACTGCCAAACTCCTTTCCAAAAGGGCTGCTTTCCAAAAAATGTTACAGTTGCAACAATGTTCACAACTAACTTTGGAGACAGGTGGTTCTAGGCTAAATTATTCATCAGCTATGTCATTTTGACTCCCAGTTTTGCCAACTGAAAAAGTCAGGAAAAAAAGCCTAATTCCTAGAGGATAAAACAAAATAATATATGTAAAGCCTATATAATAGGCACATGTTCACATAATAACCCACAATCAATGTTTATTCCCTTTTCCTTTTGTTATAACAAGAAAACTCAATAATTTTTGGATATCATTTAAAACAGGTCCCCAACCTCCGAATTGTGGACCAATACAAATCCATGGCCTGTTAGGAACCCAGCTGTACAGCAGGAGGTAAGCAGCCAGGGAGCCAGAGTATTATGGTCTGAGCGCCACCTCCTGTCAGATCTGTGCAGCATCAGAGTCTTATAGGAGCATGAACCTTATTGTGAACTGCGCATGCAAGGGACCTAGGATGCATACTTATTATGAGAATCTAATGCCTGATGATCTGAGGTGGAAGAGTTTCATACTGAAACCCATGACCCTGACACCCCCATCACCATGTGTGGAAAAACTGTCTTCCACGAAACCAGTTTCTGGTGCCAAAAAGGTTGGGGACTACTGATTTAAAAATAAGTAGAAATATAATACCCTACTTTAGTCAGTTCTCTAATAAGTTTAAACTTTTCTCTGTATTAACTAGATATATTTCCTCTTTTGTTAACTGTTTACTCATGTTATTTGCTCACTTATCTATCATACTCTTACCATTCTTACCAATTAGTGAGCTTTATTTAATGTATTAAAGGTATTTGTTGTCTATGTTTGCTGCAAAGAATTCTTTTACCAATTTTTTTTTTTTTTTTTTTTTTGAGACGGAGTTTCGCTCTTGTTACCCAGGCTGGAGTGTAATGGCGTGATCTCGGCTCACCGCAACCTCCACCTCCCAGGTTCAGGCAATTCTCCTGCCTCAGCCTCCTGAGTAGCTGGGATTACAGGCACGCACCACCATGCCCAGCTAATTCTTTGTATTTTTGGTAGAGACGGGGTTTCACCATGTTGATGAGGATGGTCTCGATCTCTCGACCTCGTGATCCACCCGCCTCGGCCTCCCAAAGTGCTGGGATTACAGGCATGAGCCACCGCGCCCGGCCTTTTTTTTTTTTTTTTTAAAAAAAGAAGGGTTCTTCTCACTCTGTCAGGTTGGAAGTCCAGTGGCATGATGATGACCCACTGCAGCCTCACACTCCTGGGCTCAAGCAATTCTTCTACTTCAGCCTTCCAAGTAGCTGGGACTATGTCTATTCTTGATTATAGCTTTATAGGTTTCTTTTCTCTTAAGTTCCATTCTCAAGTGAAAAAATCTATTGATCTTTTCCTTGGTGTTTAATCTCTAAGTTTGGGAAGACTATAGGTTTGATAGATTATATTATCTCCCAGTGTTTTTCTATTTTCTTAAAATACTTAACTTTTTTTGAGATGAAGTCTCACTCTGTTACCCAGGCTGGCATGCAATGGCACAGTCTCGGCTCACTGCAACCTCTGCCTCCCAGGTTCAAGGGATTCTCCTGCCTCGGCCTACTGAGTAGCTGGGATTACAGGCACCTGCCACCATGCCCGGCTAATTTTTATAGTTTTTAGTAGAGACGTGGTTTCACCATGTTGGAAAGGCTGGTCTCGAACTCCTGAACTTGTGATCTGCCTGCCTCATCCTCCCAAAGTGCTGGGATTACAAGCGTGAGCCACCGTGCCTGGCCCAAAATATCTAACTTTCTATCTTAAATTATGCTGCATAAAATGAGAGCAGGCTCTGATCTGACTTCTCCCCACCAATTCTAAACTCAGTGTCCCAATATCATATACTAAATATATTTTTCTGTTATTTCTAGGTTTTATGATATTCTTCATAGTCATCTACTGAATTATTATAAATAACATGATTGGGTTTCTGCACTGTTGTTGCACTGGTTGCAATAGATATTCTTGTGCCCACTACCAAAATGATGCAAATTATGAGTCCTTATTAATGCAATATTTCTTTTTTCTTTCTTTTTTTTTTGAAATGGAGTTTCGCTCGTTACCCAGGCTAGAGTGCCATGGCACAATGTCAGCTCACCGCTACCTCCGCCTCCTGGGTTCAGGCAATTCTCCTGCCTCAACCTCCTGAGTAGCTGGGATTACAGGCACGCGCCACCATGCCCAGCTAATTTTTTGTATTTTTAGTAGAGACGGGGTTTCACCATGTTGACCAGGATGGTCTTGATCTCTTGACCTTGTGATCCACCCGCCTCAGCCTCCCAAAGTGCTGGGATTACAGGCTTGAGCCACCGCGCCCGGTAAATGCAGTATTTCTAAGCCTAGTATGCTTTCAACATTCTTCCTTTCCAAAGTTTCCTTGCTAAATATATTTTTTCTTTTTCTTTTTTTTTGGAATTGAGACAGAGCCTCACTCTGTTACTCAGACTGGAGTGCAGTGGTGCAATCTCAGCTTACTGCAACCTCCACCTCCCGGGTTCAAGCAATTCTCCTGCCCCAACCTCCTGAGTAGCTGAGATTACAGGTGCACACCATGACGGCCAGCTAATTTTCGTATTTTTAGTAGAGACGAGGTTTTGCCATGTTGGCCAAGCTGGTCTCAAACTCCTGACCTCAAATGATCCACTACCTTGGCCTCCCAAAGTGCTGGGATTACAGGCGTGAACCACCACACCTGGCCTGATATTTTCAAGTTTATTATTCCAAATGAATGCTAAATTCCTTTATAAAGTAGTTCTAATCCTATTGTCATCTTTATTATAATTGCTTTAAGCCTGAGAATTGACATCAAATGTAAGTATTATCCAAGAAAATCAGTTTCACCATTTACTCAAGTCTTCTCTTGTAAGTTTTGAAGGATTTTTTTTTTTGCCTTTTAAAATATGGAAATCATCTATTTCCCATGTAGTGCTAAGTTTTATATTGCATATTTATGCTATAAACAGAACACTTTTCCACTGAGTTTTCTAACTGGCTGCTGCTGATAAACAGGAGTGCAATCAACTTACATATTTTGTATCTGGCAACTTTCCAAACTTTTAAATTAATTCTAAGATTACTATAGTTGAAATATTTATGTTTCTAAATATATTAATTTATTTTTTTCCAAAATCTTACTTTTCATGTTTTCCTGCAATGACCGGAGGGAACTGTGTCTCCTTGGACCTCTCTCCAATCAATTTGTACTCTCTACTGGCCTCTAACAGTTTCTAACCATTTCCATATTAAAAAAAACAAAAAAACCTGGTCTTGCTCTGTGTTCTTTTTCAGCTGCTATTGTCCTCCTTACCACCTTCATCTCCTTGCCTTAACCACCAAGGTTCATGAGCCATCTACATTCACTACCTTCACTTCTCAGTTAAATTCATTCCTTAACTCACTGCAGTATCACTCTGTCCCCACATTTCCACTGGCAGTGCATCTCAAATATCCCAGCAGCCAAACTAGACTCCTTTCTGACCTTCATCATGTTCTCTGTTGCTCTTGACCTTAATGACCACTCTTCTACTTCCAATTCTCTCTTGGCTTCTCTAAATCCATTCTCTTGAGTTTCCTTTTTATCTCCCTGGAGCAGGTGTCCCCAAACTTTTTACACAGGGGGTCAGTTCACTGTCCCTCAGACCGTTGGAGGGCCGCCACATACTGTGCTTCTCTCACTGACCACCAATGAAAGAGGTGCCCCTTCCTGAAGTGTGGGGGGGGGGGAATAAATGGCCTCAGGGGGCCGCATGTGGCCCACGGGCCCACACCTGCTCTGGAGGCTCTTTTCTCTGTTTGCTCTGTTGACTTTAAGTGTTTCTTATGATTTCCTTCTCAAATTTTTACTTTATTTATTTATTTATTTATTTATTTTTTTTTTTTTTTTGGAGACAGAGTTTTGTTCTTGTTAGGCTGGAGTGCAATGGCACAATCTCAACTCACTGCAACCTCCACCTCCCAGGTTCAAGCAATTCTCCTGCCTCAGCCTCCTGAGTAGTTAGGATTATAAGAGCAAGCCACTGACTCTGCTAATTTTTTTTTTCTTTTTTTCTTTTTTTTTTGTATTTTTAGTAGAAACAGGATTTTAACACGTTGGCCAGATTGGTCTCAAACCCCTGACTTCAGGTGATCCACCTGCCTCGACATCCCAAAGTGCTGGGATTACAGGCGTGAATCACCACACCCAGCCAAATTTGTACTTTTCTTAGTCTACATGCTTTCCCTGGGTAATTACATTTACAGCTTCAAATACTACTACAATTCCCAAATCTATAATTTTAGCTAAAACCTCTAGGTTAAGGTCCAGATTCACAGATCCAAGTGCCTATACTGCAAGTTTCCAGTTGTATGTCCCACAGGAACTTCAAAATTAGCACGTCTAAAAATGGATCATTTGCCCTATTCCTAGTTTCCAGCCTCAGCCCCCAACAAATCTGTCCTTCTTATATTTTCCACCAAGTCACTCAAGCCAGAAACTAAAGGGAAACCTAGAACTAAAACCTCACTTGCTCTTCACATCTAACCCAATTAAATGTAGAACACATGAGTTTATTTTCACTCTCTCTAGAAAATCCACTAAAGTGATGGTAATTAAGGAATAAAAAAGGTACATGCCCCAAAAGACAAACAGAATGACAGAAGAGAACAGCAAGAAAAAATGTTAGTTAAATTTCATCAGGTGAAAAGTGAATGGACTAGTGGGAACCAAGAAGAACAGAAAAACTGAAACGAGCCGGGCGCGGTGGCTCAAGCCTGTAATCCTAGCACTTTGGGAGGCCGAGGCGGGTGGATCACAAGGTCGAGAGATCGAGACCAACCTGGTCAACATGGTGAAACCCCGTCTCTACTAAAAAAATACAAAAAATTAGCTGGGCATGGTGGCGCGTGCCTATAATCCCAGCTACTCAGGAGGCTGAGGCGGGAGAATTGCCTGAACCCAGGAGGCGGAGGTTGCGGTGAGCCGAGATCGCGCCATTGCACTCCAGCCTGGGTAACAAGAGCAAAACTCCGTCTCAAAAAAAAAAAAAAAAAGAAAAAAGAAAAACTGAAACGAGGTAAAAAAGGGGAAGCCACAAGAAGCAAGCCAAACTACCTTGAAAAACTACAAAAAGGCTTAGGAACTGGAGGAATCATATGCCCTTGAAGGATAAGGCATGACGCGGGCTGAAAACAGGGGCAATATTAAAGTCTGTATAAGGAGCATTTAGCTACCACAATTTCTCCCAACCCTGTGCAACTAGCTCACCCCAGCCTCAAGAGAAGTCAGGTGATGTATACTCTGGAAAGGTTGAAGACCTGTGCTTGTGGAAATCTCGGTAGAGCTGAGGACAGGGTGAGGTGAAAAGCCGTAATGAAAACTGGAGGGTTCAGTTTACACTGGTATGCTGAAGAGAGAGATTTCTCTATCTTCTATTCCAACCAGCATCCTCTCAGCTCTGGCTCCAAGAGATGGTTTAGGCAGGAACTACTCTCCAGGCAGAAACTACTCTCTGGAAAAACTGACCACTCGAAGAGAATATTTCTGCAGAGAATGACAAATGAAGATCCTGACCCTGTCATCCCAGGATGAATTCTATCAGTTCTCAAACTCCTTCTTCCAACTAACCAACCTAGCATATATTTCCCAGTTATTTAGTGTTTCACTCTAATGTTTAGTATTTTTAAATATAAAAAGTAGCCAGTGATCTCTAAATATCTGAGGAAAACTCCCACATATGGTCAGCAAAACAAACAGGGAAGGTGAGAACTCAGAGAAAAAAAAATAGGAACAATTACAGGGACAATGCAGGGAGGAAAATAAAACTAAGAATTTAGAGAGGCCAGGCGCAGTGGCTCAAGTCAGTAAATCCCAGCACTTTGGGAGGCTGAGGCAGGTGGATCACAAGGTCAAGAGATCGAGACCATCCTGGTCAACATGGTGAAACCCCGTCTCTACTAAAAATACAAAAAATTAGCTGGGCATGGTGGCCTGTAATCCCAGCTACTCAGGAGGCTGAGGCAGGAGAATTGCCTGAACCCAGGAGGCGGAGGTTGCGGTGAGCTGAGATCGCACCATTGCACTCCAGCCTGGGTAACAAGAGCAAAACTCCGTCTCAAAAAAAAAAAAAAAAAAAAAAGAATTTAGAGAGAAAGATAGACACAAGACATTACAAACACAAGTAACATCTCAAAAATGCATTCCTATGCACCCTTTCTCAGGAAGTTACTGGGCTTAGTACTCCCACAAAATGAGGGTTTAGGCTGGGCTCAGTGGCTCATACCTGTAATCTCAGCACTTAGGGAGGCAGAGGCAGGATAGCCTGAGAAAAGGAATTCAAGACCAGCCCGGGCAACACAGCAAGACTCTGTTCTCTATTTTTTTTAAAAATGAGGTCTAGGCCGGGCGCGGTGGCTCACGCCTATAATCCCAGCACTTTGGGAGGCCGAGGCGGGTGGATCACGAGGTCAAAAGATTGAGACCATCCTGGTCAACATGGTGAAACCCCGTCTCTACTAAAAAAAATACAAAAAATTAGCTGGGCATGGTGGTGCGTGCCTGTAATCCCAGCTACTCAGGAGGTTGAGGCAGGAGAATTGCCTGAACCCAGGAGGCGGAGGTTGCGGTGAGCCGAGATCGCGCCATTGCACTCCAGCCTGTGTAACAAGAGTGAAACTCCGTCTCCAAAAAAAAAAAAAAAAAAAAAAAAAGAGGTCTAACTATGAAAGAAAGAAAAATAATAAGGAATCTATAAATAAGACCTACAAAAAACCTAAGAGGCCAAAAATTCCTGTTATGAAGATGAGAGAAGTCCTAATTGTACAGCAGTATAAGAGAACTAGTCCTGATGAGAACAAAAAGAGAGGGCCTCAGAAAACATATCAGCAAGGGGGAAAAAAGGACTTTTGACAATTCTACCAGAAAGATTCAGGCTGGACTAGTAGAAGTACATAGAAAACTAGGCAAAAGAAAAAATAAAGCAAAAAAAAAAAAAAAATCATAAAAATTTATGTAAGACATCACACGTAATTATTTTTTAGCTGTGAACAATATCTATGTAAAAATAATTACATAAACATTGAATAAGACTGAACCAAAAGTTATAATGTAACTCTACTGAAAATCTGAAAGAATAAGTTTGTGTTGTGGAGAGTGGGTATGAGATAAATCATTTTTCAGTGAAGAAAGTTAGTTGCTAAAGACTAAAAAAAAAAAAAAAAAAAAAAGTCAGTTAATAACAATATAAACATGGTATTCGGCTATGGGGGTGATAGGTCAGGAAAGTTAAGAATCAGAGGTGGAGAAGGGAACCTGGGATTATCTTTCACTGTAAGCCCTGAAGTACTACTTAAACTATTCCTATCATCTATCTGTTTGATTAAAAAATTAAAAAGCAGGCCGGCCGTGGCGGCTCACACTTGTAATCCCAGCACTTTGGGAGGCCGAGGCGGGCAGATCATGAGGTCAAGAGATGAGAGCATTCTGGCCAACAGGGTGAAACCCCGTCTCTACTAAAAATACAAAAATTAGCTGGGTGGTGGCACGCACCTGAGGTCCCAGCTACTCAGGAGGCTGAGGCAGAAGAATCGCTTGACCCAGGAGGTGGAGGTTGCAGTGAGCCGAGATTGCGCCATTGCACTCCAGCCTGGTGACAAAGCAAGACTCCATGTCAAAAAAAAAAAAAAAAAATTAAAAAGCAGCTTAGTTTTGAATCTCAGAATCACTGCAGGTCTGCAACAAATAGCTTTTTGGTCCTTTTCTAAATGCAGATTTAGTGCAAAAAGGCTATTAACATCCCTATTAGTTACTTATGTCCTTTGTTGTTTATAAAATATCTGTTACTCTAGGTAGCTTTATAATAACAACAACAATGGTAGCAACAATATTGGTATTTTTTTTTTTTTTAAAGAAGGGGTTTCACCATGTTGGTCAGGCTGATCATGAACTCCCAACCTCAGGTGATCCGCCCGCCTTGGCCTCCAAAGTGCTTGGATTACAGGCATGAGCCACCACACCCGGCCACTATTAGTAATTTTTAAAAAATCATTAACAGCAGCTACCATTTACTATTTACAAGGTACCAAGAAATGCATAAAGTGCTTATGGACATTATTTCTCTTAATCCTTACTCATCAATACCATGATGAGTAAATGGGACCAGAAAAGCAATTTGCCAAGACTATATAGCTGGTAAATGAGAGAGCCTGGATTCTAACTAGGGTGGGTATTTGTTTCAACCTTTCCAGGACAGTTAATATTTGTACTTGGTGTCCTGGCATAGTGATCAACGTACTCTCAATGATATCCCAGACAGAATGATAAATTCTATGGAAACCCTAATTCTAACTGACCCCAGAGCTTATGCTCTTAACCACTAATCTATGTTGCCTCTCCCAGAAAAGAGGGAGAGTGGAACAGCAGTTATTGGTATAAGCAACTCTCTAGGTAGTCCCCAATTCTTAGGGTATACAATTTCCTCAGCTAAGACACAGTTTATGTATGGGAAATTAGGAAATTTTACCAGGAGTTCACTGTTAAGTTTCTTTTTCTTTTTGGAGGCAGGGTCTCACTCTGTTGCCCAAGCTGGAGTACAACGGCATGATCATAGCTCACTGTCAATCTCAACCTTCTGGGCTCCAGTGATCCTCCCACCTCAGCCTCCCAAGTAACTGAGACCACAGGCACACACCATCATATCCCACTAACTTTTTTACTTTTTGAAGAGACAGGGTCTCACAGTGTCATCCAGACTGGTCTCAAACTTCTAGGCTCAAGTGATCCTCCTGACTCAGCCTATCAAAGTGTAAGGATGACAGGTGTGAACCACCACACTTGGCCTCTAGAGGAATGTAATTACCTGTCCCAGCAATGCCATGAGACGAGATGGAGGCACCACACTGACTTCACCAGCTAAGGCCTGGGCAATTGCTGCTCTTCTCTTTTCTTTGCTACTTCCATCTGGGTATGCCTGAAAAACGAGAAGATGTAGCATCATTTTCAAGAAGCAGTAAGATATGAATGTGCTTATTTAAAACAAGCAGAAGCATACACAGAGGAAAATGTGAAAAGAAATTATCCATTTAAAGAGGGGATTAGTTAAAACAATTTAGTTTTTGAAAATGACTTCCCAATTCTGACCACTTGCATTGCAAAAGCATGACTTGGGAGAAAACTGAGGTCAGCCAAGCCACATTAATATTATTTTTTTCAGTGAGTTCCTGGCCAAAGGACACACTGCTATTTTTTCTGAAAAGAGTCCAAGTAAACCATATTAAAGCCAGAGTTGTTTTTCCAGTTTTCGAAAAATTTGCAGAACCAAGAATTATTTTATATTCCTTTTTTTTTTAAAGGCTAGTCAAGTGAAGCAGTGGGAGTGGAGAAGTATATTCTTTAGTAATTTCTTAAATGACTCCCAGCACTGAAGTGTTTCACCACCTCTAACTTAAATCCTGTTCTGGTAATCTAAACTCCTTTCCTTTATCCTCATAGTTTTTGTAGATTTACTTTAACATTCTACTATCCAGTGCCTACTAAGTTCTTCCTCCTGAGAAAATATTTGCAAACTACCCATCTGACAACGGATTAATAACCACAGTATGACTGGGCACAGTGGCTCATGTCTGTAACCCCAGCACTTTGGGAGGCCAAGCCGGATGGATCACCTAAGGTCAGGAGTTTGTGACCAGCCTGGCCAACATGGTGAAACCCCGTCTCTAATAAAAATACAAAAATTGCCGGGGATGGTGGTGGGTGCCTGTAATCTCAGCTACTCAGGAGACTGAGGCAGGAGAATTCTTGGAAACCAGTAGGCGGAGGTTGCAGTGAGCCAAGATCACACCATTACACTCCAGCCTGGGCATAAACAGCAAAACTCCGTCTCGAATAAATAAATAAATAACTAGAATACAGAGCCAGGTGTGGTGGCTCACACTTGTAATCTCAGCCGGGGAGGCCGAGGCAGGTGGATCACTTGAAGCCAGTAGTTCAAGACCAACTTGGCCAACATGGTGAAACCTCATCTCTACTGAAAATACAAAAATTAGCTGAGTGTGGTGGCACACACCTGTAATCCCTGCTACTCGGTGGCTGAGGCATGAGAATCACTTGAACCCAGGAGGCGGAAGTTGCAGTAAGCCAAGATCACATCACTGCACTCCAGCCTGGGTAACAGAGTGAGAGACTCTTGTCTCAAAACAAACAAACAAATAACAACGACAAAGAACAATATATAAGGAGCTCAAACAACTCTATAGGAAAAAAATCTGATAATCCAGTTTTTAAAATGGGCAAAGGATCTGAATAGACATTTCTCAAAAAAAGACATACACAAGGCAAACAGGTTTATTTAAAGGTGTGCAGCATAACTGATCATTAGAGAAATCCAAATCAAACTATAATGAGATATCATCTCACTCCAGTTAAAATGGCTTTTATACAAAAAGACAGGAAATAACAAATAACAAATGCTGGTAAGTAAATGGAGAAAAAAGAACCCTTGTACACTATTGGTGGGAAGGTAAATAAGTATAACCACTATGGAGAACAGTTTGGAGGTTGCTCAAAACACTAAAAATGGAGGTACTATATGATCCAGCAATCCCACTGCCAGGTATTCACCCAAAAGGAAATCAGTATATCAAAGAGACGTCTGCACTCCCATGTTTATTACAGCAGTGTTCACAATAACCAAGATTGGGAAGCAACGTAAGTGACCATTAACAGATAAATGGGGCCGGGCACGGTGGCTCAAGCCTGTAATCCCAGCAACTTTGGGAGGCCGAGGCGGGTGGATCACGAGGTCAAGAGATCGAGACCATCCTAGTCAACATGGTGAAACCCCGTCTCTACTAAAAATACAAAAAATTAGCTGGGCATGGTGGCTCATGCCTGTAATCCCAGCTACTCAGGAGGCTGAGGCAGGAGAATTGCCTGAACCCAGGAGGCAGAGGTTGCGGTGAGCCGAGATCGCGCCATTGCACTCCAGCCTGGGTAACAAAGAGCAAAACTCCATCTCAAAAAAATAAAAAAATAAAATAAAATAAAAACAGATAAATGGATAAAGAAAATGTGGTACATACACACAATGTAGTACCATTTAGCCATAAAAAGGAATGTGATCCAGTCATTTGCAACAACACGGATGGAAGTGGAGTCATTATGGTAAGTGAAATAAGCCAGGCACAGAAACACAAACTTTGCATTTATTTGCGGGAGCTAAAAACTAAAACATGGAGATAGAAAAGTAGAAGGATGGTTACCAGAGGCTGGGAAGGGTAGAGGTGGAGGGGTAAGAAGGAAAGTGGTGATAGTTAATGAATATAAAAGACATAAAAAATGAATGAATAAGAAATAGAATTTAGGCTGGTCTGAGTGCAGTGGTGTTTACAACTAATTGATCACAACCAGTTACAGATTTCTTTGTTCCTTCTCCACTCCCACTGCTTCACTTGACTAGCCTTTAAAAAAATTAATTAAAAAAAATTTTTTTTAATAGTATTTGATTGCACAACAGGGTGACTATAGTCAATAATAATTTAATTGGCCAGTGGCTCACACCTGTAATCCCACTTTGGGAGGCCAAGGCGGGTGGATCACGAGATTAAGAGATCAAGACCATCCTGGCCAACAGGATGAAACTCTGCCTCTACTAAAAATATAAAAATCAGCTGGGCATGGTGGCATGCGCCTGTAGTCCCAGCTACTCGGGAGGCTGGGGCAGTAGAAATCACTTGAAGCCAGGAAGTAGAAGTTGCAGTGAGCCAAGATCGTGCCACTGCAATCCAGCCTGGCGACAAAGCAAGACTCCATCTCAAAACATAATAATAATTGTGAAAATGCTGACCAAAAAAAAAAGAAAAAATAGGGCCGGGCGCGGTGGCTCAAGCCTGTAATCCCAGCACTTTGGGAGGCCGAGGCGGGTGGATCACAAGGTCAAGAGATCGAGACCATCCCGGTCAACATAGTGAAACCCCGTCTCTACTAAAAATACAAAAAATTAGCTGGGCATGGTGGCGTGTGCCTGTAATCCCAGCTACTCAGGAGGCTGAGGCAGGAGAATTGCCTGAACCCAGGAGGCGGAGGTTGCGGTGAGCTGAGATCACGCCATTGCACTCCAGCCTGGGTAACAAGAGTGAACCTCAGTCTCAAAAAAAAAAAAAAAAGAAAAAGAAAAAATAATAATAATAATTTAATTATACATTTAAAAATAACTCAAAGAACTGAATTGTTTGTGCCGGGCACAGTGGCTCACACCTGTAATCCCAGCACTTTGGGAGGCCAAGGCGGGCAGATCACGAGGTCAGGAGTTTGAGACCAGCCTGACCAACATAGTGAAACCCCATCTCTACTGCAAATACAAAAATGAGCTGGAGTGATGGCATGTGCCTGTAATCCCAGCTACTCAGGAGGCTGAAGCAAGAGAATGGCCAGGAGGCAGAGGTTGCAGTGAGCCAAGATCATGCCACTGCACTCCAGCCTGGGCAACAGAGTCAGACTCCGTCTCAAAAAAAAAAAGAACTGAATTGTTTATAACACAAAGGATAAATGCTTGGGATGATGGATACCTACCCCACTTACCCTCATTATGCATTGCATGCCTATATCAAAATATCTCATGTACCCAGGAGGCTGAGGCAGGAGAATTGCCTGAACCCAGGAGGCAGAGGTTGCGGTGAGCTGAGATCGCGCCATTGCACTCCAGCCTGGGTAACAAGAGCAAAACTCTGTCTCAAAAAAAAAAAAAAAAAAAAATCTCATGTACCCCATAAATATATGTACTTACTATATACCCATAAAAAAATTTTTTTAAATTCTTTTTCCTCCTATTTTGACAAACCTCTAGTGAAAAGCTGGGGGGCGGTGGGCAGGAAAAATGAAACTATATAGATAATAAAGTTTTGGAAGAATAAAAGACCATCCATCATCATGCTCTACTAGTAAGCATAATCAGCTAAGAAACAAAAGCACAAGCTTCCAGGGACGGAAAAGGCTGGAAGGAAACTGCAATTGTTAGGAGCAAGAGACAGGAATGAGCAGTGAACATACCAGCAGTCAGGCAGCATCTCAGGGAGGGCTAATGTGGAAATGACATCAGAATAAAATTTTCTTTTTTTACTAATCAACACACAATCCTCTAAAATGAGGTATGTAGAAGACTCAAATAATCAGAAAACTGAACAAAATTATTGTCCTTATCATATGCAAATTTCAGCCAACATATATAAACAGAGAAGCATCATTCTCAAAAATTAAATCAAAATCACAAAAAGTATCCAATAAAATGGTTAAAAAAAAAAATCATGTTATTTCATTTCCAAAGTTAACAAAAAGTTTCTTTTCATTACCACAGTCATACCTCACGAGGATCAAAATAAGACCTGGCCAAGAGGTTCTCCAGATGAATATATCGCTCTGGCTGTGTTTGTTTTAACATTATCATGGGATCAGTCTGTCTCAAAAGTGACCTGGCAGCACCCAATTCACGGAGCTCTATCAATTCCAGAACAACCTGGACAATTAAAAAAAATTAGATGTTTCAATACATTCTCTTGTTAATATTTTTCAGTAAAATATCTAACACAGATATGTCCTGTCAAAGTGATTTCCAATACCAGGAAGTGCCCCTTTCCCTTTTCACTAGCAATTTCAGGTGGACAACTGAAGTAATCATAATAACTTCAGCCAGCCACAGTGGCTCATGCCTGTAATCCTAGCACTTCAAGAGGCCAAGATGGGCGGACTAATTGAGGTCAGGAGTTCGAAACCAGCCTGGCCAATGTGGTGAAACTCACTCTTTACTAAAAATACAAAAAAATTAGCTGGGCGTGGTGGCACATCTGTAATTCCAGCTACTAAAGAGGCTGAGGCAGGAGAATTGCTTGAACCCAGGAGGCAGAGGTTGCAGTGAGCCAAGATTACACCACTGCACTCAAACCTGGGCAACAGAGAGACTCTTTCTCAAAAAATAAACAAATAATAACTTCAATCCTTCAAACTCCATCCTTCATTTTTAACTACCAATCTCCCCTCCTCTCAGGTTTCTTGCTCAGAACATAGATGTTAAAGAAAGCTAAAGATGGGAACATCCCCATGGGCTCCAGAGAAACCTTTCTCCAATTACCAAAATTTGGGAATTATTGAACTCATACGGATGTAAAGAAACAAACTGCCCGGGCGCAGCAGTCCACACCTGTAATCCCAGCACTTTGGGAGGCCAAAGTAGGTGGATCACTTGAGGTCAGGAGTTTGAGACTAGCCTGTCCAATGTGATGAAACCCCATCTCTACTAAAAATATAAAAATTAGCCAGGCATGGTGGTGCACATCTGTAATCCCAGCTACCGAGGAGGCTAAGGCAGAAGAATCACTTGAACCCGGGTGGCGGAGGTTGCAGTAAGCAGAGATCGCACCACTTTTACTTCAAATTACAATCTTATTTCCAGAAAGCCTACTGTGTTGTCTTATAATCAGTAATTTGTCTGATCTTTGTCCTAGGTTTTTGACTTGGAGCTTCTAAAACCCTTGGAATTTGACCAGTGATACAAGTATCTTTGTTACTCCTGGGTCCCTTGAAGCACACCTGGACTTGTGCAAAGGATAGGAGCTAGTTACAGAAAGACTAACTATGTGATTAGAAAGTTGAGGCTCTCTCATGCCTAAATAATGCCAGCACTTTGTGAGGTCAAGGCTGGCAAACTGCTTGAGCCCAGGAGTTTGAGATCGCCCTGGGTATTACGATGAGACCCTGTCTCTACAAAAAAAAAATGCAAAAATTAGGCAGGCACGGTGGCACATGCCTGTGGTCCTAGCTACTCAGGAGGGTGAGGCAGGAGGAAGGATTGATCCTAGAAATGGAGGATGCAGCAAGCTGTGATCTCGCCACTGCACTCCACAGTGGGTAACAGAACAAGACTCGGTCTAAAAAAGAAAAAAAAAAAAGGAAGAATTTTAACTTGGGAAATCTTGGATTTGCAAGAAGAGAGAAAAAGTAACAATGTCAAACCTTACCAGTGTAAGTTTTTGTTTTTTATTTTAATTTTTTTTTCTTTTTTAAATCAAAAGCAAACCAGTGTAAGTTTTATGGGCTGATGCAGCCCTACAGTGCTTAAAGGAATGCTCACTGATGCTTTCCAGTCAGGGAGCTGGCCCCACAACAAACCAACCCATGGGGATCGGCATCACCACCACTCTTACCTGTTCATAGAGGTCAATGAGGGTTTTGTCTGGCAATTTCAGAGACTGTATAGCCTGCAACACAGTATCCCAATGGCCACTGTTAATGTCAGCCACAAAACTCTCAATGCTGTCCACAGTATTCAGAGACACAGTAGTCTCCTCCTGCAAGGTGGCTAATGCCCGATGTAAACTGTTCTCCTTCAAGTACTGCATGATAAGGCGGATCACACTGAAAGAAAACAAATCATTCAGTTCAGGGATTCCCACTCGCCAAAGGCCAAAAATAAAGCCTACCCAGCTCCTACTCATCATTTCCTTTCACCACCATTTCTTTATCATGTGAGTAAAACTTTCCAAAGTCACAGAATCTAAATTACAAGGTGACCTCCCCACCCTAGAGTCAGAACTGGGGTTCAGAGAAGGGAAATCATTTGCCTAATGTCTCAGCCAGCTAGAAAGGGAGTTGGTATCGAGGTGGCTATCTTATTTCCTAATCTAGAGCCTAGTTTCTTGTTCATTCTTATGATTATATTATAGCACACTTCACTGAAATACTTTAAATTAGACTAGTCTAGCCATTGATACAAAATAATCTCAGTGAGGCTGGGCACGTTGGCTCCTAACTGTAATCTCAGCACTTTGGGAGGCTGAGGCAGGAGGACTGCTGGAAACCAGGAGTTTGAGACCAGACCAGGCAGCTATGAGACTCCATCTCTACAAAAACTTTTAAAAATTAGCCAAACATGGTGGCACTTGTCTGTAGTCCCAGCTACTTCCTATGCTGATTTAGGAGGATCCTTTGAGCCCAAGAGTTCAAGACCAGCATGGGCAACATAAGGAGACCCCTTCTCTACCAAAAAAAAAAAAAAAAAAAAAATTAGCTAGGCATGGTAGTGTGTGCTTGTGGTCCCAGCTACTTGGGAAGCTGGGGTGGAAGGATTGCTCGTGCCCCTTAAGGTTGAGGCTGCAGTGAGCCATGATCACACCACTGCACTTCAGCCTGGGTAAGACAGCAAGAGCCTGTCTCAAAATAATAAATAAAATAAAATCTATGAGGTAAGTTTACTACTATCTGACAGTGGTGGTCCTGTTAAAAAAATTAAAAAAAAAAAAAAGTTTACTATTATCCCCAAATTACAGCAGATGTAACCAACTAATAGAGATAATAAGTAGAAAAATCAGGACTCAAACTGGCAGTGCGGCTCTTGAACATATATTCCTGAGGAGAAAGCAAACACTCTCTTCTTTTTTTCTTTTTTTCTTTTTTTTTTTTTAAAGACAGGTTCTCACTCCCATCACGCAGGCTGGAGAATAGTGTTGTGCTCACAGCTCTTTGCAGCCTCAACTTCCTTGGATCAGGCAATCCTCTCACCTCAGCCTCCTGAGTAGCTGAGACCACAAGTATGCACCATCACACCAGCTAATTTTTGTGTTTTTTGTAGAGACGGTGTTTTGCCATGTTGACCAGACTGGTCTCAATATCCTGAGCTCAAGTGATCCATCCACCTCAGCTTCCCAAAGCACTGGGATTATAGGTGTGAGCCACCATGCCTGGCCCCTCTTCTTTAAAACAACTATAAAAGAGAACTGATTGCTGCTACTTGCAGTAGCCTTTTTCTCTCATGGCCCCTTTCTGAGGTATGCAGGTATCCAAGCTTAGACCCCCTACTATTCTGGTATAGTACTATCCTCCTTAGCACATTTCCAGTGACTTTCATTTTGCACTCCCAAAATAAGACATCTCTCTCCTCAAACACCTCACATTTGACATAGCCAAAATCAAATTCTCTACCTTCAAACACAAATGAATACATAAAGAACTAAAAGCTTTGAAGACAATCTGGGATTTGAATCAAAATTATGTGACCTGGGACAAGCCAGTTAATATCTCTGTGCCTGCTTCCTTATCTGTTAAGAAAAATACCTATCCTGTAGGGTTGATAAAAAAGGTTGATTATACTACTTACAGCATAGTTAGCATAGAAAGTACTTAGTATATAGTAACTACTATTATTATTATTTTGAGTCTCATTCTGTTGCCCAGGTTGGAGAGCAACGGGGTGATCTCGGCTAACTGCAACCTCTGCCTCCCGGGTTCAAGCAACTCTGCCTCAGCCTCTGGAGTAGATGGGATTACAGGTGACTGCCACCATGCCAGGCTAATTTTTGAATTTTTAGTAGAGACAGGGTTTCACCATGTTGGCGAGGCTGTTTTCAAACTCCTGATTTCGTGATCTGTCCGCCACGGCCTCCCAAAATGCTGAGATTACAGGTGTGAGCTTCCATGCCCGGCCTGATAGTAACTTTTATTAATTAAAAACAAAACAAAACATGCAATAGCCATTACTGCTACAGCCGAGGTCAAGACTGGGAGAATGGTCATCACAGGCACCACTCAGGCCCCAAAGCATGGAATCCTTTCCAACTCCTTCTTGACCTAGTTGTCGTAATCTCCAGCACTCCCTATCATTCTCCTTTGTTTCATTTTTGTCCAAAGCATTTACCTCCCTCTGTTACATTTCATATTTTATTTATCGTTTTTATCTATTGCTTGCCTTCCCCAGTCACAATGTATGTTCTATGAGAGGAAGGATTTTTGTCTGTTTTGTTCACTACTTATTTCCAGCGTCTATAACAACACATAGATTTCAGTATTTGCAGAATGCATAAACTTCCCTTCCTCCTATGAAGAGTCTCCAAAAATGGGCCAGGTGCAGTGGCTCACACCTGTAATCCCAGCACTTTGGGAGGCTGAAGTGGGTGGATCAAGAGGTCAGGAGTTCGAGACCAGCCTGGCCAACATAGTGAAACCCCGTCTCTACTAAAAATACACCAAAAAAGTAGCCAGGCATGGTGGCGGGCACCTGTAGTTTTAGCCACTTGGGAGACTGAGGCAGGAGAATGCGTGAACCCGGAAGGTGGAGGTTGCAGTGAGCCGAGATCACGCCACTGCACTCCAGCCTGGGTGACAGAGTGAGACTCCGTCTCACACACACACACACAAACAAAGTCTCCAAAAAAGGTCCTCTCTCACAATTATATCTGTTAATTTAATCATTATTAAGTGTTGGTAAGGACAGGTGGAGGATGGAATTCTGGAAAAGCACACTAGAGGTATTCGTTAGTCACTACTTCTCTCCTCTATTCCCTGAAAATTCTTCTTTCTAGCCCAGTCTCCAGAGACTGTCTCTCCTTTACGGCTACAGAGAGCTTACAGACAAACCAAAATTCAGGGCCTGATAAAATAGCTAGTTGTTCATTCATTCCAAAAGCAATTAACTCTTCCTCTAAGGTATGCTAGACACTGAAACCACAAGGAAAAGGAGCCCCTAGGCACCGTCAAAGCTAGTTTGGGGTGAGGTTATCAAACAGTGACAATATTGAGTGATAAACGCTAGGCAGAGGAAAGCAAAGAGACTGTATAGCACAGAGGAAGAAACGAATCACTTCCCATAAGTTGGGCAGGGAGAGAAGCAAGGTTTAAAGAGACCAAGCCCCCTGTGCGATCATTAGACTGGAGTCCAGAGTGGATCCTTAATTTGGTCAATCACAGCACCGTCGGCCAAGGACAGAACTCAGGTCTGCAGGGTGTTTTCCCCACCCCGTGCCACCTCCCTCGAGACTTTGGGCTTCACGTCTGAGAGTGGCTACTTTCTTGCCGGCCCACCTCTGAGGTAGCCAGATCCAAGATGCTTCTTTGGGCCCAAGGAAATGGGCCCAAAGAAGCATCCACTCCCTGGCCTCTCCGATGCCTTCTCCCGAGTACCCTCCACCCCACACCCTTAACCTCCGGGTGCCCGGCACGGCAGGAACATCCCCACCGCAGGACTCACTCCGAGGATTCGATTTCGATCGACATAGCTGTATCTCTCAGCGAGCAGGCCCCGGTTCTCCCTCAAGGCCAGTCGCGCAGCACAGCAACGACACCTCCGGCGGCCGCCTTACGTCACTTCCGCTTGGGCTGGCGTTCGGAGTCCGGCGCCTGCCCTTCAGACGGAGTGAACAAAAAGAGGGGCGCTGTGCGCGCAAGGGCGGGGCCTTGAGGGACTGTCAGAGGGTGGAGCTTATGCCCCTGCCCTAGAGAAATAAGCTCCAGGAGAAGGACTGTTTAAAAGCACTGGGCGCCATACAGCTCACAAATGCAGTGAAAAACAAAAGCACTGGGGCTGGGCGCGGTGGCTCACAACTGTACTTCCAGCGCTTTGGGAGGTCGAGGCGGGGGGATCACCTGAGGTCAGGAGTTGGAGACCAGCCTGGCCAACATGGTGAAACCCCTTCTCTACTAAAAATACAAAAATTAGCCGGGCATCGTGGCACACGCTTGTAATTCCAGCTACTCGGGAGGCTGAAACAGGAGAATCGCTTGAACCCAGGAGGCGGAGATTGCAGTGAGCCGAGATCGCCCCACTGCACTTCCAGCCTGGGCGACAGAGTGAGACTCCGTCTCAAAAAAAAATAAAACAAAACAAAAAAAGATTTAGGCTGGACTAGGAAAGGAGGGCAGGGCAGGGCAGGGGAAGGGAGGGGAGGGCAGGGGAGGGCAGGGGAGGAAAGGGGAGGGAAGAAGAGGAAGAGGAGGGTTTGTTGTCATTTGATGTAATTAGTTGATTAGATTTAAGATAAGGCTGAATATGCACTGCTTGATTGGGATATTAATATATCCGAAAGCAAGGTAACAAAATTTTTAGAGTTAATTGAAGGTTTTGTGGGGGTTGGTTGGTTGATTGGTTAGTTTTGGATTTTTTTGAATCAGGGACTTGCTTTGGTGCCCAGGCTGGAGTGCGGTGGCGCGATCATGGCACACTGCAGCCTCGACGCCTCGGACTCAAGCCATCTTCCCACCTCAGCCATTCAAAATAATGGGATTAGGGCCGGGCGCGGTGGCTCAAGCCTGTAATCCCAGCACTTTGGGAGGCCGAGGCGGGTGGATCACAAGGTCGAGAGATCGAGACCATCCTGGTCAACATGGTGAAACCCCGTCTCTACTAAAAATACAAAAAATTAGCTGGGCACGGTGGTGCATGCCTGTAATCCCAGCTATTCGGGACGCTGAGGCAGGAGAATTGCCTGAACCCAGGAGGCGGAGGTTGCGGTGAGCCGAGATCGCGCCATTGCACTCCAGCCTGGGTAACAAGAGCGAAACTCCGTCTCAAAAAAAAAAAAAAAATAATAATGGGATTACAGGCGTGAGCCACCGCGCCCCTCACCGGACCTTAGATCACACACATTATTACTGTACATTTGTAGTGACAAATGAAATGTAGAGATATCAGTGAAGTTCATACATAAAACCTATTTTTAAATGTTTCATTGCCAATGTATATAAATTTTAAAAATTATTTATAGCAGAATAATAATAAATCTGGCTGGGCACCGTGGCTCGCGCCTGTAATCCCAGCACTCTGAGAGTCTGAGGTGGGTGGATTACCTGAGGTCAGGAGTTCAACACCAGCCTGGCCAACATGGTGAAACCCTGTCTCTACTAAAAATACAAAAATGTGCTGGGCATGATGGCATGCATATGTAATCCCAGCTACTCAGGGGGCTGAGGCAGGAGAATAGCTTGAACCTGTCAGCCGAGATCACACCACTGCACTCTAGCCTGGGCGACAGAGTGAGATTCCATCTCAAAAAAAAAGAAAGAAAGAAAGAAAGAAAAAGAAAAAAAAAAGAAGAATAAAAGGAAATTTAATTAAAAAAAAAAAAAACTAACTAAAAAAGAAAAGGTGGGGCAGCGGAGGGTAGGGAGTGTGAATTATACTCTATCTGCATCACATGCTGCTTGAGATAATCCCTGGCGCCAAGTGGCCTGTTTCAAGTCAGAACTTATTTGCTGCTTTGCCTGTAGTTTATGCATGCATGTCAATGTGATTATGGGCACCATTCTTGAGAAATGAAACTTTATTATGACTAGCAAGCAGCCACAGATGTATATCTATCCTTTGCTTCTTCGATATATTGGATTTGTTTTTGTTTTTGTTTTTGTTTTTGTTTTTTTGAGACGGAGTTTTCGCTCTCGTTACCCAGGCTGGAGTGCAATGGCGCAACCTCCACCTCCTGGGTTCAGGCAATTCTCCTGCCTCAGCCTCCTGAGGAGCTGGGATTACAGGCACGCACCGCTATGCCCAGCTAATTTTTTGTATTTTTAGTAGAGACGGAGTTTCACCATGTTGACCAGGATGGTCTCGATCTCTCGACCTCGTGATCCACCCGCCTCGGCCTCCCAAAGTGCTGGGATTACAGGTTTGAGCCACCACGCCCGGCGATATATTGGATTTTTAACCCCTGATTGACAGTCAATGCTCCTGGCATCACAAACCCTCCTCATTAATGTTTATTCTATAATAACAAAGTGGAATATGACATTTTTGTTACTATGTATCATGAAATTACAATCTATACCAAGTTTCCCTTCCCTGAACTGGCTACTCATGTAAGTATTCCAATAATCCATCCATTTCCATGCTTTTTCCATACCCAAAAGTATAGCTTTCTTCACCTTGCTGATCTTTTGTTCATAAGTTGATAAATGTTGCCAATTCCTAAAGATCAATTCGCATAGGAAATTTTGTTTTTAACCCTAGATAAATGAGGTCTCTCACATCTCTCCATCCATATATAAATAAACAAGCAGGCACACACAGAGACAACTTCTAAACTGTAAACCAGGCAATTGTATTCACCAAGAAGCTTTACTGCATAGTCAGAGGCTGGATCACAACCTCCCAGACCAGATTTCTAGTGAACAAAAGTAACCCAGAGGGAAATCCAGTTTCATGATCTGCCCCACTTTCCGGTAAATAGACACACTCCTGTAAGCCCACGTATCTGCAATCTATCTCTTGAATCCAGCAGAGGGCAGGACAGCCACAGGAAAAACTACCATTGTAAACCTGGCCTCCGAACATCTAACTGGTGATTACGGAAACGAGGTGGGAGGGAGAGAGATTCTTGATCCTGTATTGTAGAAGGGAAAGTCAATATTTGAGTGCCAAAATGGGACAAAAGGTTGGCTTTATTTCCTATTAAACTAGACCAGTTTTATCTAACATGATATAATAAGGCAAAGTTGAGAAAAAAATCACATAATTCTGTCTGCTCTTTGCAGAATATGAGTTGAAAGTTACGAGGGTTAAATGAGTTAATACGTACAAAACACAACAGTGCCTGGCATGTGGTGAGCACTGAGTAAGAGATGGTTGTGGTGGTGGTGGTTGTTGTTGTTGTTGTTATTGTAGAGATGTTTTCTTGCTATGTTGCCCAGGCTGGTCTGGAACTTCTGGCCTCAAGCTATCCTCCCTCCTGGGCTTCCCAAAGTGCTGGGATTCCAAGTGTGAGCCATTGTGCCTGGCCTATTATTATATATTAAGATTTCAGAGCCCTTCTATTATTTCTCTTTCTTACCACAATAAGAAAATAAATACTCTGGCAGGGCGCGGTGGCTCAAACCTGTAATCCCAGCACTTTGGGAGGCCGAGGCGGGTGGATCATGAGGTCAAGAGATCGAGACCATCCTGGTCAACATGGTGAAACCCCGTCTCTACTAAAATACAAAAAAATTAGCTGGGCATGGTGGCGCGTGCCTGTAATCCCAGCTACTCAGGAGGCTGAGGCAGGAGAATTGCCTGAACCCAGGAGGCGGAGGTTGCGGTGAGCCGAGATCGTGCCATTGCACTCCAGCCTGGGTAACAAGAGCGAAACTCCGTCTCAAAAAAAAAAAAAAGAAAGAAAAGAAATACTCTAAGTCAAAATAAAGTCTAAAATTGGTCCGTTTTGGAATGAGGAACTCTTCTCTTTAGTGTGATACTGCTCTCACAGATGGGCTTGTACCCTGCTCATGCTCCACCAGCTGGAAGCTGGCTGGTCTCCAGCAGTCCACTTTGTCTTGACCTCTGAAATCCCTGTTTGTGTCTCACTGGCCAGTTCAGCCTCTGTTACACAAAGCCACGATGGAGTGTGTAGCCAGCACCTCCTTTATTTACACAGAAAGGGATCTTCCCTCAAGGCTGGAGCTCAAATGGGAGGCCTGTTTCCCACATCATGACTTGTTAGCACTTGTGGTTCTAGAGGCTTCCCTTAGCACACCTTTGATCTGGGATCTGTACAGACAGAATCCACAGGGCCAGGCCACAAGAGCCCCAGCAGCTTCCAGGGAAAGTACTTTCCCACTGTTGTCCTTTTTTTAAAATGGCATCTCTCACCTCCTTACCCCGACCGCTTTTCTACTTTCCAGGGACGCTAGGGCACAGAATAAATCCTAAACTTGTATGCCTGGGATGCTTGGTCTTTCTTTCATTAGACAGAGTGGAGGGTTCTAGCCTCATTCCCCATATTATTCCTACCCTTGGAGCAGCCTGGGATTCCCTATTCTCTAATTGCAATGGACAGTTTTTGGGGTGTCTGGCAAGCTCACAATTCCCCTTTCTTCCTTCCTATCATGTATAGTGGGAGAAGTACTTCGATAAGATGTGGCTGTTGGTGACACCATCTTGGGGTCACCAGAGATACACATACAGAAACAGGTAAGAAATACACATATAGGTACATACACAGGTAACAAATGCATATACAGAAACACGTAAAATAATGTGATAGACATGGAAACTTTGACACACACACACACAAAGACACACACACACACAGTTCTGTGACTTAAGGAGTAAGCTTTTCCCCCAGGTATTGTTTTTCTTGTTGACGGTCACTGTGGTGCCCACGTGGCACATCCACAGTTCTTAGAAAAAGGGCAGAAACATGAAGCCTTTCCCAAGTTAGAAACAAAGGCCCTGGCACAGCCCAGCCCTGGCTCACCAGTCCAGGATGTCTGTCCTACCTTCGTCTCCCTGGAACTGTAGTTCTGGCTAAAATGCTGCCCCAGGGGATCTCAGCCAAGGAAAACAGAGCCTTCCCAGGCACCGAATCCCACTGGGACAGCTGGCCCAGACCAAACATTCAAGCTCTGATGCTTAG